TATGACTCCTCTTCTCTCTCCAGCTACTTATGGGTAAATAGGAGGACAAACCGTGTTCTATAGCCTTGGATGGCAACTGGTCTAGGAGAAGGCTAACTATGAATTCAAAACATGCGGAGGGTGTTAGGAGACCTTGTGGCACGGAGTGCATCAGGTCTCTGTATTCAGCCCATCAAAAAGTTTGGTTGATTTTGCACGGAGCTTTTACCACTCTAATCAAATCATTAGTGCCTCTGTCTAGCTGGCGGTTCCTAGAACCGATCTGCCTCACCCTCATACGTCAAAAATCGACGGAAGAGTCCGTATATATATATATATATATATATATATATATATATATATATATATATATCATAAATCCTAAACAGCCAGGAACAACCTCCCTAGGTTTCACTTAATCGGATCTTCTGGGTAATCTGGCTAAAGAGGAAATGACACAAAACAGTTTTTTTATTGATAAAATCATTAAATATTAATTAGCATAAAACCACGTGACAGAAGAAGATAGGAAAAAACCCACAGAGCCTCTATTCCATAAATTATTAGGTTCATCAGAAGAGGCTATTGCTAATTTTCCTCCATATAATAAGCAATACTTGTTCCCTGTTTTATACTTATGGCATTTTTAGCATTTCCCATTTTAAAATGGGGTCAATACCTTTTACCTGTTGAATATTCCATATATGTATGTAGACAGGCTAGTACTGTGTTTGTAATTTTCATGCTTAAATCTACTTAAATGATTGTAGTAACGCTTTTTGAAATTACCCTGGGGGATCTTATGTAAAATTTAACGTTCTTATTACTATTATTAGTTTTTATTTCTGTGTATTTCAACCCTATAAATCACATATTGGTGTTGATCTGCCCTTAAGTGGGTAGGAGATATCCTTATGTCTACAGTTACATGTAGTGACGTTGAGTGTGGTTTGTCTATGTTTTTTATTTTATATTTATTAAGTTAGCCATGTTCGACATACAACTATAACTTAATTTAACAATTTCTGTTGAAAATTTTGTACAATACGTTTGTTTGGGGAAATTCTTTTTAGTAATTTAAAAAAATTTTTCATATATATATATATATATATATATATATATATATATATAATTACTGGACTGTCCTGTCGTTTTGAGTGTACAGGAACTAGGTTCTTGAAAGCGGACAGCCACTACCATTAACACATGATTTGGTTTCTAACAGCGAAGGCCAGTGTAGAACCCTGACACTTTTTTGGTAGGGTCGAATGCAGTCAAATATTTGCAATATCCTCCAAATGACCCTAGACACTTTCAATTCAGAGTTGTCCATCTCAATGACCGGATGCTACTCAAGACTATAGGGACAAGTCAGTTCTGCTATTTAGCTATAGATGGAATATATATATATATATATATATATATATATATATATATATATATATATATATATATATATATATATCTGCGACGAGAATGAATAGAGTACAATTCAACATTCGTAACATTTCATTTAAAAGAGGCTCAATATAGAGATTATTTAAAAGTCCTAAGGTGAAATGGAAAATTTTAAAAATAGCAAGGACATGTGTTTTCTGTGTTTACATGAAAAAATTTAAAATATCAGGTTCTTTGATAAGAATGCATTATTAAACCAAATATTCATCCATGTTAACGGTAAATTGTAAACACAGTATACCTTTTACCTTAAAATTCAGTTAGATTTGGAATTTGACAATGCTTTTACTTAGATTTTTATTAACTGTGTTGCGCCATATATGGCTTATCGTTCTATTGGTAAGATTTATTTGGATTTAAAATAATTTTGTATTGATCTTCTGGTAGTATTAGTAAGAACTTGTACGGAGGTGTTGGTATTTATTCAGTACTTTTTGACATTTTGCATTGATTGGTTATTTGTCATTAACAATATATATATAAATCTTTTGTCAACAGTTGCATATTAATTTACCAAGTAATTCTATATGTTTAAATTATTTGCTGATTTCATAAAGAGGATAGTTATTCATCATCTTTAAAAACATTTTATGTAGGAAACTCACAAAGCAGATAACTTGTTTAGCATTTCGTTAAATTACGACTCCACTTTATTTATTCTCTGAAATAACATTATCTGAAGGTATAATATGTGTGAAAATAATAATTTCTTAATTTTTGCTTCATTGCTTACTTTAAATTTAACGTAGGTCGCGTAGACGCCAAGACAGAAATTCACCATCTAAAACAACATCCTTGACAATGGCTAGAGAAGTAGTCGTAAGTAACCGGAACAATTGTAACTATGGACAATTTCTCTATTTTTAAGTAAAAAAAATTGTTGGAAATATATATATATATATATATATATATATATATATATATATATATATATATATATATATATATATACACACAAACATATATATATATAGATACATATATATACATATATAGATATATATCGATATATATATATCGATATATATATATATATATATATATATATATATATATATATACATATATATACATATATATACACATATATATATATATATATATATATATACGTATATATATATATGCATGTATGTATGTATATATATATAAAAATATGGATTGATTAATTGATGAATTGATTAGTATCTGTCTATATTTTCTGAGATGAGGTATTATGTACACTGTTTACATTATTCGGACTATTGACCTTGTCTTTGTCGCCATACTTATTACAACGTTTCGGTCGCTGTACGTTCCGGCCTTCTTCAGGTGATTGGAATGTCGAACATGGCACGGTGGATAAAGGCGTTAGTTAGATCCAGTGGCAGGACCCAAAGAGTGTGAGTCAATATGAGGACAATAGTCCGAATAATGTAAATAATGAATTGATTAATTTGTGTATATATATTTTTTTACTGATTGGTCGAAGAAAACTATCAAACACTGTTTTCATATAGCTTCGGCTCATTCGTGTTTTTATCGGTCTCGAGAGTTTGGCATCCTCCACTGCGAAGATTGAGCCTCGGTTTCTGGATTCTAACAACAGACCGACGATTCGTTACCTGTTAAGATCGTTTTGAAAATGTTTTCTTTTTTTTTTTTTGTGAGACGACCACACTCTACACACTTCCCTTCCAAGCACTGCTGTAAACAATGGATGTGAGCAAGAACGTTATAAATTAGTAGGCATACGCGATAGCGTTCAAGGTCAATCTGTGCCAAGCGGCTTTACTCTGCGTACCCTAGCTTTGTTACCATAGCAACAGTCTCGATACTTTTTGATCAGAGAGCTTTCAGCTATTGCAGGGGTTTTAAAAAGAAATTAACTGAATATGTTAATTTTTTTTTATATATGTCTATCTTTATTGATGGAGATATATTTTTAATTTCTAAACACGGTCAGTAGGTCATAGCCGTGTTCATACATGCACGTTCGTCTATTACTCGATGTTTTCCCCAAACTTCCCTCCCAGTAACCTTTGCGTCTAAGTGACATTATCGAATAGCTTGGATTCAAATGATTACAAAAAAAAGATGTGTTACCGTCGGTGAAAATTTATAAAATTTGTTTATTAAAACAATTATTTTCAAGAAATTAGTCTTGACAAGGCCACTGTTATAGATCTTTCTATCAAATACGTTTGATCGTTCTACTGAAGCAGGTCAGTTAAACAAATCTCATCGTCTGCGCCGAGGTGTCTTCTGCTATAATTACAGAAAGAACGATTGTTTCCATCATCGTTACTACAAGCAATGAAGCATTAATTTTTGATTCATGTCAGATTCGTAAATGTGATAATGGTCAAATTGAAACTAGTCAAAGTGATGCCGCAGGTTAAAATTGCAGAGGAACTACGCCTTGCAATTAGTGCGTGACAAGGGAAGAGCAAAAAAGGAAAGTACAATTATTTATAAGATCCATTATTTGTAGCTGCACAAGGGAATGCATTCGATAAATACGAAGCTGTAAAATCGTTAAATATTTAAGTTACACTTACTCTTTAAGTAATGAAAAGCGTGCATAGTTTCCTTCGTGAGTCAGTTTCATGTTCACAATCAATTTGACGCCGTCACACTCATATTGAAAAGCTTAAAAATATCTATCAATCCATCTGTTAATGAATATTAGTTTACTGTGATAGAAATGAGTCACCCATGATAATATATATATATATATATATATATATATATATATATATATATATATATATATGTACCTGTGTGTATATGTGTGTGTGCAGATATGTAGAGAAATAGGAAAAACACGTTAGGTAAATAATCCAGAGTTATTTGGTATTTGGGATTTTATTTTTAAAAAACAGTGCTTCATACAGAAGTAGAGCTTAAATTATAAGTATTTTTTTAAAAATATGATTCCTTGATTCCTTTTTTTACATAAGAGTTCTCATATTTCAAAACAAAGATTGAATACCTCAATATGATTATTGAAATTAAATTGAATTAAAGTATCAAAAGCCCTGGTTTTCGGCTCTCGTTTTTAAAAACATGAGAACTCTTATATAGCGAAGGAATCATTTTTAAAAAATAATTATAAATATATATATATATATATATATATATATATATATATATATATATATATAGAGAGAGAGAGAGAGAATATACACACACGTTATATACTCTGTCCCCAACTAGGACGAGATGTGATACAAGGTCTATTTTAGGTGGGAGCCCCAGCGCTTAAACCCAGGACAAGAACAAAATTTCCTCTCAGCCCCCGCAAAATTCAATTGCGCAGGCCTCGGCAGGAGCACCGATCCCTCTCTCTGATGCAATGGGATATATTGGCCCCAGGCAGCTCTTCCCAGTGAATCTGGGTAATTCTTCAGTAATATTTTCTCAGTTGCCCCTCTGTCCTTTGACAGACAAGCCCCCTGAGCGCACTCTGTCCAAATTTCAACTGAGATATGAGCAGAATATATCTATTAGAATCTTTTTGTGACACGCATGAACAGACAGACTGATACATACATGCATATATATATATATATATATATATATATATATATATATATATATATATATAATCGAATTAAGATAAGGTATAGATATACGAAGACTGTGATAGAGATAGATAAATAATGACCAACCAATCAATTTATATGTCTAACCTTTTTTATTAAATATATATATGAGATTAAAGTGTATTCAATTTATATATATTAACACGTTGACCTGTTTGTTTGACTTCACGAATCTCCATTCTTCTCAACATATATACCAATTTTTTTTTTTTTTTGTCATGTTTCGGATGAATAACGCTTATTTTCAATACAACAATAAAATATTTTCGTTCTTTCATTTCTATCAATTTTGTTACGATTTTCATTATCTATCGGTTAATTTAGAATCTGACATTTGTAATTCTAATTTTAAGAAAATATATCTATTGATCTATCTACCCTTAAATCGAGATAGATATTTATCATCGTCATATTAAAATCTTATAGATCTATCTTCAATGTCGTCGTTTATCTATCTATCTATATTTTCTATCTTATTAGGTCATCAAAAGCCTTCGTAATTACCAATCTTTCCCCTAACCAAAAGCAATTTTTTGCAACATTTTGGACATTAAAACCTCAAGAAAACACGTTTTTCTCAAAAGCTGAATAAAAGATTTCTTTAAAATGTACCAAAAATATCTTAGATAAATGTTTGTAGTTAAGGTTTTTATATACATTTAATACTCAAAAATTTTGAATAAATTTTTTATTTAAGTTACTAATATTTTAACATAATCTACGAAAAAATATTGTAAAACAATACCTCTGTTTTCAAGGATCTTTTTTTGATAAAATTTTTTTTCTTTTTGCTAAATTCGTTTAATTTCTTCTTTTATTTCGTATTAATTAATATTTACGAATCAAATATATATTTCAACCCTTATAAATCTTCAAGATAATTCCAAAATTTTTTGAGATTTTCTCTGGCATGATAATTTAATTCTACTCATTTTTATTTGAAAATATAGATAAATAACGGATATATGAAATATTATATAGTCATTAATCAAAGAATTTTTTAACTCTCTATATAAAATATTTACACTCTGCTTTTCTGAACATTGTTTAAAAATCCCTCGTACTTCAAAAACAGTTTATCATTAACACCAGTTTTTATCACAAAATATCTTTAAATTTAATATAAAATATCGCATAACAGTTTTTAACGATAAATTTTTTAGGATATGAATATATATAAATTATATTTCATTTTGTTTCTATTCGTTTTAATATATATATATATATATATGGTTGTATGTATTTTTCAGATCGCCGATATATTGCGATCCATTTTAGATATTACTTTTATGGAAAGTAATCTTCAACAATTGCTAGATTTTTTTTTTTTTAATGAACAACCTACATATATGAGTGATTTGAGGGAATGTTGCATTAAAGACATTTCCCTTATTAACAATTTTAAATTAAATTTAATTCTTTTCAAACGATTCAATAAAATATTTGCGTAATTCTGCATTTTTGCTGAAGTTTTTATTTAAATTAATTTTAACAATATGAAAATTTGGAGCCTGCTTATTCCGCTACAAATGTCTACTTTGAAGCTGGAGCCGAATTGCCCTGGGTTCGTATAAAATACATATAAATTACAATGAATTAATATTTATATTTATAAAAATTTAATCGTTTAAATAAGTAAACAAATATACATTCAGCTAATAAATTTAAATTACTATCGCTCCAAATTCAGATAAATATTGTAAAGCGGTTTCTCTCAATGCCTACAGCCCACGAGATGTATATATTTTTTTTTGCATTCTAAACTTCTTTTTTTTGTATTCTTCCTCCTTTTCCTCTTATCTTACGTCCTAGGATATCAGGTTCTTCCCATTCTCAATATCTAGTCTTTCTATCCCCATTGCAAAAATTGTCTCGGCCTCTCAAATTCTTCATAACTTATGATAACTCCTTATATAAGTTCGGCAACTCCTGTGAATAATAATAATTCCCACTAATAGTCCATTCTCCCATAGTTGCCCCCCTAATAATAATAATAAATTCAACAACGTCATTAACCTCTCAATTTCTTCCATTATTACATCAAACAGACTCTCCTAATTTCGTTCTATCCTCTCTCTTTATTTCTCCCCTTTCTTATTTTTCCTCTCATTTCTTTTTTTCCTGGATAATTTCTTTTTCTCATCCTCTTGTAATTGCACAATTTTAAAAACTTCTTTCAAGAGATTTTTTTCTCTAATTTTCATTGTTCAAAGACTTTTATATTTTTCTTGAAGGGTTTTTGATTTTTTTATATTCTATGGTGATTTTAATGAAAAATTGATGTGCATTTTTTGAGAGAAAAGTTGCCCGTTAAAATTCAAAGTATTTGAAATTCCCAGTGCGTGACTAATCTTCTTTCGAATTTTCTCCTCAAACATTAAACTGTTGGTGCTACGAGCTATAAATAAAGCGTTGCAAAAAAAGAATTAATGAAATCGTTTCAAATGAAACTTTGTGTTTGAAACTAGAATGTTCAAATGAACATTTAAGTGATATAGATGGCAAAACTAGAAGAAAAAAACGTTGGCAGATAAATAGATAAAATATATAGATAGATATCCTATAGATGAATAAATAGAACAATGAATGAGATAGATAGACGAATGAATGAATCTCTTTTTCCCAAAAGACACAGGGACACACATAGTATAAATATATATATGATTTAGATAGATATATATATATATATATAGATAGATAGATAAGATTAAGGATAGATAGATGAGGTTGAAGATTTAGATAGTGAACAGTGATAAAATAAAAGACGGAGTTTTTAGATGAATAGATAGATAATGAATATATAGATAGATAGATAGATGAACAAATACTAGATGGAATAATGATGAACTGAGATAGATAGATAATGATAGATAAACCAATAGCCGATAGATGGATAGATAGGAAAATAGATAGACTAGGATATGAATAGATAGATGGATAGATGAAATAGATAGATGAATATAGATAGATTGAGATGGATATGAATAGATAGATAGAAAAAAAAAATAGATAGATAGATAGACAAGATAGATAGATAGATATGACAGATATAGATAGATAGATAGATAGATAGGATAAATAGATAGATGAGATAGATGAATGAAAATGAACAGGTGATAGATAGATAGATAGATATAGATAGATAATGAACAGATAGATAGATAGATGAATGATAGATAGATAGATAGATGAATAGATAGACAGATACTGATAGATAGATAGATGACTGGATAGATAGATGAATAGATAGATAATGAATGAATAGATAGATAGAGATATGACACAGATAGATGAATAGATAGATAGATAGATAGATGAATAGATAGACTTGACCATAGATATGAAAATAGAAACTGAGATAGATGAATGACAGATAGATAGATAGATAGATGAATAGATAGATCACATTTAAAAACATAAACACGGATCGATACATTTGCTTCTCTGACGCCAAGCCAACGTAATGTATATGAAACCTGACGTTTCTCGAGTCAGACTGGTAAGACCAGATGTTGTACCCAGAATTACTTCGACTTCCGGCAATAAAAATGTATCATTTTGACAGCAGTGTAATTAGAGTAGTCAAAGAATTTCGATAATATTTTCAGTACCGATGTCGAAATATCGTTAAACAAACACACACACACACACACACACACACACACACACACACACACACACACACACACACACACACATGTATATGTATATTGTAAATTTTTTAAGATAGGATATATTTTTATTCACACAAAAATACGTGTATACATGTGAATGTATGTATGTATGTATATATGTATGTATATATTACATTTTCAGATGTATTATATATATAAAAAAATGTAACGTAAATGCTCAATGCGAAGAACAGATATCTTTATAAGATTATATAGCGACTTTCTCTTCTATGACTCAAAATTCATGAAAGATTAATCTTCAGGTGGGTACAGGAAGATGTGAAAACAAGATTTTCGCTGCATGATCTATATCCTCTCTTCTCTATATATATATATATATATATATATATATAAGGGGTTAAATTGTTCGTGTTATACAACATGAAAATTTCAAACGTGATAAAAAACAAATTT